CACATTGCAACAACGGAAACTTGCAAAATTTTTTTTTTCTGTTAATGCTAATAAGAATACTAATAATTTTGATAATAATAATGATAATGACTAATAATAATAATAACTATTATTATTATTATTATTATTATCATTATTATCATTATTATCATTATTATTATTATTATTATTATTATTATTATTATTATTATTATTATTATTATTATTATTATTATTATTATTATTATTATTATTATTATTATTTTTATTATTGTTACTTTTATTATTATTTTTATTGTGATTAATAAATTTAAATAATAAAAATTCTAATAGTAAAAAAATATTATTACTATATTTTGAAATTTCATTAAAAAATAGTTTTAAATAATTTCATACAGTTACGAAATAGTTACAAACGGTCATGAACTAGTTTCAAACAATTACGAACTAGTTTAGAATAGTTATGAACTAGTTTCAAAAAATTACAAACGGTTACGAAATAGTTACAAACAAGTTCCAAACAGTTATGAACTACTTTCAAACCGTTACGAACTAGATTCAAACAGTTACGAACTTGTTTCAAATAGTTACGAAGTAGTTTCAAATAGTTACGAACTAATTTTAAATAGTTACGAACTAGTTTCAAAATGTTACAAACAGTTACGAAATAGTTACAAACAGTTATGAACTAGTTTTAAGCAGTCATGAACTAGTTACAAACAGTAAAGAACTAGTTTCAAACTAATCTTTAGCTTTTATTAATTGATGAATAATAAGATTAATTTTTTTTTTAAATTATGTAAAGAAATAAAAATTTTTCGAGAAATTTTACTTTTCCTTCGTTTTTGTAGTTCCTCATATTTTTTTGCGATGGACTTCTTGGTGAAGCACATACACACTATATGTCTTATAAGTAACTAGGAAGAAAGTATAAAAGATGAAAAAAAATTAGATAATTGTGCCACTTACGTAGTAATGCATTCCTTTAAAATAAAAATTATTTCTATCATATACATCTTGTGTAGAAAAAAAGTCACAACAATTCTGACCAACAATTCTTATTATAGAATTATAGAGTTTTGTAATTTTATTAATTACACAAATACTTTTCTTTCTCCCTCCCACTGTCGCTATCATTCTCTCTCTCTCTCTCTCTCTTTATCTCTTTCCCATTCGTATAAAATTATACCAATAATTTTCGATTTATAACAATTATAATGAAATTAAATTACTAAAGAAAATTATTAGAATGCGGAAATATTAATTTTAATTAAACACAAAAAGAAGTGAAATTAAACTCATCATTTTAAATTTCACTTTAATGTGAACACTGTTTATTTTGAGTTCAGTATGTACAAAGTTTTTAAAACAGAGAATATGAAATGCTTTTTTCTTCCTTCAAAGAACTGGTTATAAACTGATTTGAACTAGTTTAAAACTCGTTTGAACTTATTTTGAATGGTTTAAAAATAGTTTGAACTTATTTCGAACAGTTTAAAACTGGTTTGAACTTATTCTTAATAGTTTAAAACAGGTTTGAAATTATTTCGAATATGTTTTTGATTTGTACGAATTTGTTTTAAACTGGTTAAAATCTGCCTAGACCTAGTTCAAAACTTTTTTAAAGTAGTTCTAAACAGTCTGAAACTAGTTAGAAACTAAATAAAACTGATTTGCACTAACTAATTCGAAACTGTTTGAAAATGTTTTTTGTTTCGAAATTGTTTAAAACTAGTTCAAATCCGTCTAAAAGTAGTTCGAAACTATAAAAGTAGATCCAGACTGCTTTAAACTAGTTAGAAAAGTCTAAAACTGGTTCACAACTGTTTAAATAGTTTGTAACTAGTTCGTAACGGTTTGGCACTAGTTTAAAACTATCCGAAAGTAGTTTTTTTGTTCTAGTTTCAGATAACATTAAACAGTTTTAAACTTATTTGGAATAGTTTCAAACTAGTTTTTGTTCAAAATTTCTTATATTTTCCTCAAAGGAAAAAAAGAAAAGAAAAACCATAAATATGGTATCGTGTTGAATATTATTTAACAAAACTTCCGAGAGTCGAGTAAGAGGAGCGCGAATTTACAGAAAAACGAAGTTTAGAACATTTTTTTTAATTCATACAATTATACCTGAAATGTGTAGTATTTTGCATATATATGAAATATTTGCATCATTGCTCGCAAAAAGGAATGCCCCTTGTGACACACATGACAAACCATGTGCATATAATTTAATACCTCAATAAAAAAAAACAAATTTCAATTTCCTTTTAATTTTTTGTTTGTCCAAAAAATCAAACTCTACAATTTTGTATTTTCATTTATTGTGCAGCGAAAAAGAAATGAAAAAACAAAATTTCTCAATTTCACAATTTTTCTTTTTGCTTCAATTTTTAAAATTTATTGTACCAACAAAAAAATGAAAGTAAATAAGAAATTCCTTAATTTTTTCTATTAATTTCGCTTCCACGTTTATAGTTTACATAAATTACTAATAAATTTAGATAATATTGATTAAAAAAAGAAGAAAAAAAATTTACTTTCAAAAACACACTCTTTATAGATATAAATAGAAAAGTCGTTTATAATTTCGATGCGTAATTTAATTAATTTATAAGAGATCAACTTTAAAAGTGAAAATATTAATAAAATTTTATAAAAATTCAATTTATTATAATGTAGGAGAGTAAAAAACAAAATAAAAATACATTGAAGTCAATTCCACACTCGATAGTTTATATAATCGTAGAATTTTTTTTTCACAACTACACATATGGAGCTGCTGTAAACCATTTTAAAAAGTTAGTTCATGCTGTCTTGGTTTTTCTTCCCTTTTTTTTGTACAATCACTTACTTCTAGCTGTTAAATAATTCGCAGAAAATTCTTCAATTTATTTAGATACATAGTAGTTGCATATAAATTTATAACGTAATTTAATTTATGTCTCAATTTTCACACACATAATATAAAATTAGAGGAATGAAAAAAAGTTGAAATGCAATTTAATTTTATACACTTCTTCTTTATACATAATTATTCGAACAGGTCTAATCACGTTTTATGGCAGTTAATAAAAATAATCAAATGTGGCGAAAATTATTTCAAATCCATTAAAAATTAATTTCAGAAAAAAAATTAAAAATCTGTTTAAAATAATTCAAAACAAGTTTCAATTTGTTTGGGTTTATAAATCTGAAATTTCATTCTTAAATTATTTCCAAATAAATTTTTTTCTTTGGAACTAGTTCAAAATTTGTTTCAAACTTTATTTAATTCATTTGCGACTTTTTTATGTTAAGAAATTTTCTTTTTGAAACTTGTTTTAATTTTTCAGAAAAATATTTTCATTTGTTTGAAAATTCGTTACAAACAGTTCTGAACTAGTTTTAAAAAATTACGAACTAGTTTAAAATAATTCTAAATTAGTTTCAAAAAGTTAGAAACAGTTACAAAATAGTTACAAACAGTTGTGAACTAGTTTCAAACCGTTCTGAACTACTTTCAAACCGTTACGAACTAGTTTTGAATAGTTACGAACTAGTTTCAAATATAATTACGAGCTGGTTCCAAAATGTTACGAACTAGTTTTAGAATGTTACAAACAGTTATGAACTAGTTTAAAAAAAATTATGAACTAGTTTAAAATAATTATGAACCAGTTTAAAATAATTATGAATTAGTTTTTAAAAAGTTAGAAACAATTACAAAATAGTGACAAATAGTTTTGAACTAGTTTCAAACAGTTTTGAACTACTTTGAAAGTAGTTTAAATTTTTTTGTAACTTGATTTAATTCATTTTTGACTTTTATGATGTTAAAAAATTTTCTTTTTGAAACTTGTTTTAACTTGTTTGAGATTTTTTTCTTGTTTTAATCTTGTTTTTAATAAATTTAACTTAATGAAATGTTCTTAAATTTGTTTAAAACTGTTCTTAAATTGTTTTTAAAGTGTCTAAAACTGGTTCAAAGCTGTTTTTAACTTTGAAACTTGTTCGAAACTATCTTGTACTAGTTTCAGACTGTTTTTAACTTTTTAAACTTGTTTGAAACTAGCTAAACTAGTATGTATCATTGTCTTGAACTAGTTAGAAACTGTTTTAAATTTTTGAACTTGTTTGAAACTGTCTTGAACTTGTTAAAAACGGTTATTATCTTAAATTTCTTCGAGGCAATTTTCAATTAGTATGAAAAAGTTTGTAACTTGTTTGTAAGTGTCCGAAACCTGTTCGAACCGGTTTTACGTTTAAAACATGTTCAAAACTATCTTGTTCTAGTATTAAACTGTTTTTATCTTTGAAGCGTGTTTTGTTAGAAACTCGTTTTTACTTGTTAGAAACTCGTTCTCATTTATTTGAAACCTGTTTTTACTTGTTAGAAACTTGTTCTAATTTGTTTGAAACCGGTTTTTACTTGTCTGAAACTAGTTTTTACTTGTTAAAACTAGTTCGAAACTGTTTGCAACAAGATTGAAAATTATAAAATCAACTTTCAAAAACAAAATCTTTCTAATTTTGTAATAAAAACTTAATTTTAATAATACCTTCGCATGTACCATGAGAATCAAAAAATTCTTTTTAAAAACAGTCCTTTTTTTTTGCTATAATACACAGTAAAAAATAAAAAATTGCAATTTTTATAGCTACATAAAAATGCATTCCACAATTGCGACTTGTCAAATCAATTTTATATCAAATGAGATTAATGATAAGTCAAGATTTTTTTTCCATTCGGATTTTTTTCTTTTTTTTTAAATTGAGATTCGTCGCATTTGATATGTGTAACATGTGATTTGACAAGGAGGAGGTGGTGGTGAAAGGTTGTCTCGTCTTGATTGAATTGCGAATTCAATGGGGTGCAGTGTGATGCCAATATACAAGTGCACACACGTGCCACTCGACATAGTGTACCTTTAATCCAGCAAAACATCACGAAACGTCAAATCTCATTTCTCTCTCTCTCTCTCTCTCACTTATTCTTTCTCTCTCTTAGGCATCGCGTGGGACATGGTATGGGGTTTAGAAAGATCCCATACCCATATATATGAGCCATTATCCATGAAATCGCAACAGTTTTCATTTCATTCTGTGCGAGTGTCCAACGACAAGTGTTATAACATCAATTTTAAAGTAGTGCAAATTAAATTTATTACCCTAGGATTTTCTTTTTCTTATGTTTTTTTTTAATTTTTTAAAAAAATAATTAAGAATATTGAAAATATTTTTTTTAATTAGGAAAATAATAAATAATACTGAAAATATTTTTTTTAATTAAGAAAATAATAAGTAATACTGAAAATATTTTTTTTAATTAAGAAAATAATTAATAATACTGAAAATATTTTTTTAGTTACAACAAAATAATAAATTAATTTTATAAACTATTTATTTAAATTATTTTCAGTGCTATTATTAAAACAAAATTTTTATAAAAATATTTTTTCTACTTAAAACAAAAATTAAAATCCCCCTTTCTGAACAATAATAAAAAAGAAAAAAAATTATATCAATGATAAAATTAACGAAAATAAAAAATTCTCAAAAAAATTTTAAAAAATTAGAATAGTTTTTAAAGTAGAAATTTTATTGTTATCAAACACTTTATTATTTGACCCCTATATTTCCATTAAATTAAAAAGAAAATATTTTCTAAATTTACAAAATAAAAAATTATTAAAAATTATTGTAAATAAAAATGAAATTTTAATAAATAAGAAAATCGAAAAAAATTAAATGACAAAAATATCAATTTATTAGATAAACAAAAATAAATTTTCTTTTTAAACAAACATTTTTTTTATTTCTAATAAATAAATAAAATAAATGTATAAAAATTTTTATTTTTGAGTTAAATTCAACTCGTTTTAAAATGAAAAAAAAAAAATTTACAATAATTTCTCTTTGCTTTTCATTAAAAAAAAAAAAAAAATAAGTAAATAATAATTGAAAACGAAAAATAAATAAAATAGGGGAAAAATGGAAAATGTAAACAATTGGAAAGCTGGATGTGTATTGTTGACTGTACTGTTGGGATTTATTGAAAAAAGTGACACAATTCAGGCATGGGGCACACAAGTTGGTCGTGCGCCATTACTCGAGAGATACGCATGGAATATATTGGACTTTGCATATCCCGACGATGTAAGCAGACAGGCAGCGATTGACAAGGGCGATTACATTCCCGAAAATGCACTCCCAGTGGGAATTGAAATCTGGCGGAACAAACTTTTTGTCACTGTTCCCAGATGGCGAGACGGTAGGTCAACAATTTTTTTGACTTTTTAAAAAACAAACTTATTTGAAATTGTTGAAAAATAACTGCTTTTAAACTCTTTTGAACCAATTCGAACATGTTCGTATCAATATGAACCAGTTCGAAACTTTTTTCAATAGATGACAAACTGTTATTAACTAGTTTAAAACAGCTTTTAAGATTCGAAACGGTCAGACACTAGTTTGAAACTATAGTTTGAAATCGTTTGAAACAGTTTGAAACTTAAAATCGTTTGAAACTATTTTGATATAGTTCGAAACAGTTTGGAACTAGTTTGATATAATTTTAAAAAGTGAAACTAGTTTGGAACAGTTTGAAACTAGTTTGAAATAGTTTGAAACAAGTTTGAAACCGTTTGAAACAATCCAAAACTAGTTTGAAAACCTAGTTTTAAAATATTTTTAAAATTATTTTTAAACTACTTTAGAAAAGTTTTAAACTAACTTGAAATTGAACATAATTTCTTAAATAAGTTCCAAACAGTTGTGTACTAATTTGAAATTTTGTCATAAACTATTTTTGAAATTTTTTTGAACTATTTTGAAAATATTCTTAACAATTGTGAATTATACTTTAAAATTCTTGTAAATTAGTTCCAATCTGTTTTTTATTTTCTGCAAATTTTTCAATTCAATTCAATCGTACATAAACTGGTACGAATGGTTTAAAAGTTTCATTAACTTAGTTAGAAAATTTCTAAAATTAAGTTGAAAGTATTTACAGATAGTTTAAAACTGTCCTAAACTAGTTCAAAAAACGTTTTGAATTTGTTAAAATCAATTTTTTTTCATTTATGAACTGCTCTGTAATTTTCTTGAAATTACTTCGAAACTGTTTTGAACTTTTTGAAACTCATTAAACTACTTTGAAACTGTTTTTAACTTGTTGAAAACTATATTAAACTTGTTAGAATCTGTTTTTAAATTTTCAAACATATTTGAAAGGATATCAAAGTAGTTTAATACTGTCCAGTAACTATTTTGAAACTGTTTGTAATTAGTGGAAAACTTCTTTAAACTGGTTCAAAACAGTTTATACTTTCTTGAACTAGGTTCAAAATATGTTAAATTAGTTTTTGAACTGTTTGAAACTAGTTCCACATGGTTTTAAATTTTTAATATATTTTAAAACTAGTTAAACTAGTTTGAAAGTCTTGAACTATTCAGAAACTATTTTTAACTTCCTACACTTGATTGAAACTATCCGGAACTGGTCAAAAACTGTTTTAACTATTTAAACACACTTTAAACTATCTAAAATTAGTTTGAAACTTGAACTAGTTCAAAATTGTTTTTAACTATTGAAACTTGTTCGAAACTGTCTTTAACTAGTTTGAAACATTTTTAACTTGTTCAACTTGTTCAACTTGTGGAAAACTCTTTTAAACTAGTTTGAAACTGTCTTTAACATGTTAAACTGTTTGAAACTCTTAATTTCGTTTCAAAATAACTGAACTAGTTTAAAACTAGTTCAGAACTAGTCAGAATCGATTTTTACCTTTTTAAACTTGTTTGAAACTGTCTTGAACTAGTTCCAAACCGTTTAAAACAATTTTAAACTCATTTGAAACTAGCTAAAATAGTTTGAAACTATTTCTAGCTTGATAAACTTGTGGAAAACTGTTTGGAAACTACTTTGAAACTGTCTTGAACAAGTTTGAAATTGTTTTTAACGTTTAAAATTTGTTCGAAACGATTATAAATTAGGTGAAAATTGTTGAAATCTTGTTTAAAAATGGTATCAAATAATTTAAACCATTTTCCACCTTCATGTTTGTTTTAGAACGATTTTGAACTAATTAGCAACTGTTTGAAACAAGTTTGATTATAAAAATTCAAAAAAGAAGTAAATAAATAATTTTTTTTTCTCCATTTATCGATAAAATTCAATTCTCTTTACGTTGATCTACATTTATTATATGAAGTATAGAGAAAAAAAAATTGTGATCCGAGTCAAAAATTGAATGAGAGACGGCAGAGGAAAAGGGAAAAAAAGCACTAGTTGAACATACGGACATCAGGCAAAATGAGAATTGGAGAGTTTAAGAAGGGAGCGGAAGTCTGACTCTTGTTCCATTACTCTCCTTCTTTCTTTCTCTCTCTCTCTCTGTCTCTCTAACTCTCTGAAATATCTCGTCTGGACGACTTCCGGCTCGCGACAAGTATAAGAAACCCCCAAAAAATCGCGAGCTTTACTGACGACTGAATAGAATTTCGCTCATGCCCATACCAAATTTGAATCGAAACGGGGGCAACCCCAGGTTGTCTCAATGGAACTCATTCAATCTTGGCATTTCTTCCAAAAGGGGGAAAAGAATATTGTCGTGTTTTTTCTTCTTCTTCTCCTTCTTTTTTCTTTTCTTCTTCGTTCTTCTTTTTTGCATCTTGTACTTCTATCTTTTGCTTCTCTCTCTCTCTTTATTTTTTCTCTCTCTTACTCTTTCACTCTCTTTCTTTCCCATCTATCTTTTTTCTCTCTTACTCTCTCTCTCTAGCTTTCCGTTTTTTTCTTTCTCTCTTTTGAGTTTGTCGTACTTTGAACGTATGCGAATATTGTGTGTGTGTGCGGATGGCGCGCGCCAGTGGATTGTGAACCTCTTGTCGGACACGTTATAGGAATGAAACTGGCGGCATACACTGTGTACGATCTCCTCAGGATCGGCACCTTCCTTCCTTTCTCTCTTCTTCTTCCTTCTTTTTTTACGAAGCAACCCTGCTTAAAAAGTACATAAAAATCCACCATAGGGTTAGTTTCTCTCTCTCTCTCTCTCTCTCTCTCTCTCTCTCTCTCTCTCTCTCTCTCTCTCTCTCTCTTTTTTTTTAGTTTAGTTTTTTTTTCTTCCTTTCAATTCACGAATGAATTTCCGAAGCGCGCCAAACCATTGGAAGTACTTGCCAATGCTTGCCAACCCCCTCGGAGCCTTCACTCACTTTCTATCCCCCAATCTATTCGGACCCCCTCATCGCACACACAGTTCGTATATATACTATTGTTTAGAGGCAGGTTTTGTGTGGGCTGCCGGTGCTGTCCCATTATTTCCATATAACGTCAGGTTCCAGACACAAAATCCCTCTTCTTCGTTCAGTGAACTCGCAAATTTCATCCGTCAATCTGGAGCCAAGTCGAATCTCCTTTTTTTTCGTTCATTTCCCTTTTTTTTTTAGTTTGTACATCAAACAAGAGAGGACAAAAATTAAATGCATTCAATTTTTTTTTAAATTAGTAATTTGCCAAAAAAAATCGTCTCTCTATTTGACAAATTAAAAAAAAATAAAAAGAATGATAAATATTTATTTGTTATGTAAATTCTTTTAAAAATTGTTGTTCAACATTTATTTTTCCATCAAGGTTAAGATAATAATTAATCAAATGCTGTCTGAACTGGTACGTAACTTGTTTCGGATGAGTAAAAAAAACTTATTCGAACTGGTACAAAACTTGTTTGAAATAGTACAAAATCTGTTTGTACTGGTACAAAACTATTTTGAACTAGAACAAAACTTGTTTGAAATGATACATAACTTGTTAGAACTAGTTCAAAACTTTATAACTTTTTTTCCTGGTACTAATACAAAACTTGTTTGAACTGATTAAAAAATTGGTTCGTACTGCAACAAAACTTGTTTGAACTGGTTCAAAAATTGTTTAAGTATGTCAAAAACATATTTATTTTAGTGGTTAAAACTTATTTGTTTAAAAGTTTTTCTATGTTTAAAAATTGAACCAAATTTTTGTCATTGTTTTCAATTGTATAAATTTTATTTAAACTAGTTAGAAATTTGTTTGAACTAGAACTTGTTTGGAATTTTTGCAAAACCTATTTTAACTGATAATTTTTTTTTAAGTAATTTAAGTTACAAGATTTTTTTTTATTGAGTAATTTAAGGTACAATATAATTTTTTTATTAAGTAATTTAAGTTACAAGATAAATTTTTTTATTGAGTAATTTAAGGTACAAGATAATTTTTTTTTTATTAAGTAATTTAAGTTAAAAGATAATTTTTTTTTGTTTATTCTGAATTTTGCTTACAAACGGCACGTAAAAGAGAAATAGAAAAAAATGTTGTAAAAAGCTTTCATATAAACTAATGAACGGGATTTCATCAATTTTTTCCTCTCCTTTTTTTTAATAATAGTTGCAAAAAAAACTGTTTATAATTTAAATTCAGTTGGTTTATAAATTGTTATTAGCTTTTTAAGTCAATATTACTTCCTTAATGTGTAATCAATGGCAAGTTTTCTTGAATCAACCTGGGGAGAAAAAATAAATTCTGAGATAGAGAAAGATTGGGTGGGACGTGTGGTGATCGTATTTTATAGTCGTTATTAACAGTCGTAAAATTTAATGAGTACTTTGAAGCCTTCATTTCAACGTGCTTTGGTTCTAATTTCAAATTTCTATCTTTAATTAGAATTATGTATACACACAAAATGCACTCACTCGATTATATTCAGTCTCGAGTTGAGAACAAAATTTTCAATACAAGGACGCAACTAAAATTAAAACTATAATAATAATAATAATAATAATAATAATAATAATAATAATAATAATAATAATAATAATAATGATAATAATAATAATAATCAGTGTGTTTCATGCTCGAGATAATTTTCTTTCAATATTGAATTATATTTTTTTTCCCTCGATATTGTTCTTGTTATTATTTGTTTATAAGAATTCAATTATATGTTATTTAATTAATTATATATCATTTCAATTTTCTTTTATATAATTTATTTGTAGTTTGTTTTCTTTATTACATAATTTAATTGTAGTTTGTTTTCTAATTTTTCAAGCATAGTTCCACTCTTTTTTCTTGCATTGGAAATTTTATTCAAATATTTTCTATTCAACAAATTTTATTCTAAACAATTCTAAAATTTTTACTTTAATTTTTTTAAAAACTTCATTTTAATAATTCTTGTTTGTAACAAACTTAACTAAAAAATTTTTTAAAATTTTTATTTAAAATATAAAGAAATAAAAAAAATTGTTTGAAAATTATTTATTATAATTACAATTTAAAAATTTGTAAATGATTTGTCCATAAAATTAATGAACAATTTAATATCATTACAAAATTTTTACAAATTTGGAAAATAATTTCTTTTTTCAAACTTTTTGGGACCATTTGAAAAATTTGCATTTCTAATGAAAAAAAAAAATATTTGGACATAATTTAGTTATATATATATATATACACAGGTGTTCACTTATAATGACGATCGACACGCTATTTTTGAAATTCAAAAATTATGTCTTACTAGGATATATACAATATTATTATTACATCGATTATAATTAACATGTCAGCGGAATATTGCTTGTTTCACAAAACATAAATTGGTGATTATTATAGGCTAGATTATTGGTCACTAAATTCTCTCAATTATATATTTTCCCGTACAACTTTATTTTCAACGTAAGGAAAAAAAATGATTGAAACATTTCTATTTACTATGAATAAATTATTATATTTCAAAGTTTCGTGTTTGGTGTGCGCAAGGAAATATCAAATCAGTAACGAGATTTCTCAGAAAGTGACAAGTAAACAGGAAATTCTTTCTGACAATAATTAAAATACTTGCAATTAACGAAAAAAAATGAGAAAAAATGAGAAAAAAATGTTAAACTGTAATTAAACTTTCTCAATTTTTTTTTCCTCTCAAGCCAAAATAATTCATTAAAAATTTTTTTCCAGAAGATTGACAATATTGAAATTGAAAAAAAAAATTATAAAGTTAATTTTATTGAATAGTAAATAAATCTTTTTCTAAATATAAAAATTTAGTTGGTATATATTTTTCATAAACATAAAAATGTATTTTATATATTTTTTAAAACATTTTTCATAAACTCTAAAATTGGAGAATAGAATTTTCTTCTTCTAAAATTGAGGAATTCAAAATTTTCTTTTTCAAATTTACAGGAATTCCAGGAACTCTAAATTACATTTCCTTAGACACAAATCCCAATGGAGCGCCAAAATTGAATCCATATCCGAATTGGGCACAAAATACAGCGGGAGCGTGCGGTAGTGGTTTGACAACAGTCTACAGGTAGTAGATATTATTAATTATTCGCTTAATTATAATATGCTAATCTAATAATTATTAAATTTAATTATTCGACTAATTGATTTTTCCTAAGGCATTAAAAATCGCAACATGAGGAGAACTTATACATATTTATCATATTTTAACGCAAAAATATTTCAAATACTATATGAAAAAAAAAAAAAGTTTCATCTTTAAAAAAAAATTTTTTTCTTTTTAGAATACATGCAGATGCATGCGACAGACTTTGGGTATTAGACACAGGAACAATTGGAATTGGAAATACAACAGTTCAAGCTTGTCCCTATACACTTAATGTTTTCGATTTGACAACTGACAAAATTCTCAGGCAATATAAACTTCGACCCGAAGACATCAATCAGGTTCGTGTTCAAAGTTATTCTTTTATAGGTTTTAAACCAGTTCAAACTTATTTCAAAGCAATTTCGATGTTTCAAATAAATTTTTAATTGTTCAAACAAGTTCTAAACTGGTTAAAGTAAGTTAAAAATTTCTGAGAAATTTTTGAAATAATTCTAAAATTTAAAGTAGGTAGTTTTGAAGTTCAGAACTAGTTCAGAACTATTCAGAACTAGTTTGGAACTGTTTTCAAGTTCTTGAACTAGTTTGAAACTATCTTAAACTTGTTTGAAACTGTTATTGACTGTTATGAACTTGTTTGAAACTATTTTGAACTAGTTCGAAACTGTTTTTAACTGTTTATTGTTATTTACGACTAATTTAAATTTAACTTATTTATAAAATAGTTTGAAACTGTCCTCAACTAGTTCACAACTGTTTTTAACTATTTTTACATATTTAAAAATTGTTTAAATTTTAATATTGTCTTTAATCATTACAAATTACTTTGAAATTATTTTAAATTAACTCAAAACTTTTTTCACTTTCAAAACTAGTTCATAAGAATCTCAAACTAGTTTAAAACTATTCTTAAAAGTTACTTAAAAGTAGTTCAAAACTATTTTTAACTTTTATGAATTACTTTTAATTTATCTTATATAGTTCAAAACTGTTCTTAACTAGTTGAAAATTGTCTGCAATTGGTTCGAAACTGTTTTCAAAACATTTTAAAATTGTCCCAAACTTTTTTTAACAGTTATAAATTAGGTTGTAACTATTTTCAACTAGTTCAAAACTGTTATTATTTATTATTTGTTATTAAATGTTTTTGACTATTATAAACTTGTTCGAAACTGTTTTTATTATGAACTTGTTTGAAACTGTTTTAATTCGTTAAAAACAATTTCTACATTGTTTTGGACAAGTATCAAACTGGTTGGAAGTTGTTTTATATACGAAATTAATGTAATTTTGAAAATTAATTCAAATTAGTTTCAAGTTGTTTCGAACAGGTTCTATTTGGTGCTTGAATGTAATTAGAACCAAATTTTTTTCCAAATAAGTTTTATCATGTTCTGAAACAATTTTCTTTATATTTTTCTTTTAAAATTCGTTTACAATCAAATTGAACTAGTCCGTAATAAATTACTTGGAATGGACAAGTTTTAAAAATAAAATCGAAGGTAAAATTGTCAATTTTAGAAAAAATTTTTTAAATTGTAAATTTTTTTACAGTTTTTGGTTTGTTTTGAAATAAAAAAGTAGAATAGGATTTAGAATAGAATAATCACTATAAAGTGATTTTATTTTCAGAATACATTCATAGCAAATATTGCAGTGGACTTGGGAAAGAATGGTTGCGACGATGCATTCGCCTATATGTCAGACGAATTGGGCTATGGTTTAATTGTTTATTCATGGGCATTAAATAAATCGTGGCGAGTGACACATGGCTTTTTTATGCCCGATCCATTACGCGGTGATTATAATATTGGCGGATTAAATTTCCAATGGAGTGAGGAGGGCATTTTTGGCATGAGTCTGTCGCCATTGGCCGCCGATGGTTTTAGAACATTATTCTTTCATCCTTTAAGTAGTAATCGAGAATTCGCAGTATCGACCAGAGTTCTTCGAGACGAACAGCTGGCCCTCGATAGTTATCATGATTTTCAGGTAATATAATTATTGAATTTTTTCTTCCTCCTTTTCCTCGTCTTCTTTCTTTTTTTAAATCTTAAATATCGTATCGACACCTTTTACGCAATGATTTATGAGATTTTAAATCTGTGCCTTTCATTCACTGCTTATTATTATTCTCTAAAAAAAAAATTGTTGCCGCTATAAAAAATTCATCACTACAAAGAAAGTGTGAACAGTTTTAAGTGGATATGAAATTATTAAAATGAAAAAAAAAAATTTGAAATTCATCTTCTCTCAATTGTGGGTTAAAAATGAAATAATCGAGAGAAAGTTTTATGTTTCCATTAAGAAGGAAACAAAATTTTTTTCTTCTTTTTTTAGAGCAGACTTTTTTAATGAATCCAGAAAGATTAATAAATGTATCGATAAAATTTTATATTTTTAATAACTTTAGGACTAATTTTTTTTTTACTAATTTAAATTTAGAGATATTTGAGAAAAAGAGAGGGAAAAAATATAAAATAACAAATATGAAAAATATTCTAAATTGTGAATTTTCAAAGCACATTTTTTTATTTACTACCTTTTTTTTAAAGCCATTATCAGAACGAGGACCACTTTCGCATTCAACAGCAGAAATTATGGATGAAAATGGACTTCAGTTCTTTAATTTAGTGGACCAAAATGCAGTAGGATGTTGGAATTCTCTTTTACCATTTAGTCCAGCGAATCATGCAGTCGTTGCAAGGCACGACGAGGCCATAATTTTCCCCGCTGATGTCAAGGTAATTAGTTTCTTAATTAACATTAAATTTAATATTCAACTACATACATATAATTACCAACGATAATTTGCAAATCCTCTTTTTCATATATAATAATAATTATATTGTATAATATTAAGTAATTACACACAATTTTATATGCCAATTAATAAATAATATCACCTGCCTACAAAGTTAAAAGATAATTAACATCTACTTAAAAATTATTATAAAAATTACCACTGTTTCTTCTAAATATTCCTCACAACTTGGAAAAATTATTCATAATTGGTTTCAAATTCCTTAAAACGTTAAATTTGTTCATAAATAAAATTTAAACTTGCTCAAAAATGGTTCAAAATATCCAAAAACTTGTTCTAAATAGTCCAAAAAAATTTATCAAAATCGTTAGAATTTGTTAAAAGGTTCAAATATGCGTAAAACAAGTTGTAACTTGTTCTTACTATCATTAAACAGTTCTAACTAGTGCAAAACTCGTAAAATTAGGTTTGAAAGTTATTGTTACGTGTCTCAAACTCTTCCTAACTGGTTCTAACCAATTGTAACTAGTTCTAACCAGTTTTAACAGATTCAAAACTTGTTAGAAATATTAATCACTTCAATAGATTAAAATTTTTTAAACTTATCTAAAATTGGTTCTACCTTATTTGTAATTGGTTCTAACATGTTCGAAACTAGTTTCAAGTTTTAAAAACTCGCTAAAATAGGCTTGAAGTTTATTTTAATTATGTGAAAATGGTTCTAACTGATTAAAAATGATTCTAACTGATTGAAAACCCTAAAAACACGTTAAAATAGGTTTCAAAACTTGTTTACAGTTCTAAAAACTCGTTAAAATAGGTTCGAAATTTAATTTAATTGTTAGAAACTAGTTCCATGTAGTTACAACTAGTTCGAAGTTCTAAATAGTCGTTAAAATCGGTTTGAAATTTATTGTTATTGTTTGAAACTGGTTCCAAGTAGTTTGAAGTTCTAAAAGCTCGTTTAAATCAATTCGAATTTAAATTTAATGGTTTAACTCGTTAAAATAGGTTTGAAATTTATCATAATTGTTAGAAACTGGTTTGAAGTAGTACCAATTAGTTCAAAATTCTAAAAACTCGCTAAAATAGGCTTGAGGTTTATTGTAATTATGTGAAAATGGTTCTAACTGGTTTAAACTGATTCTAACTGGTTGGATACTTTAAAAACACGTTAAAATAGGTTTCAAAGTTATTTTAACGTGTCCCAAATTATTTCTACCTGGTTTAAAACTTGTTAGAAATATTATATACTTGTTAAAATAGGTTTGAAACTAATGTGACTTGTCTAAAACTGGTTATAACTAGTTCGAAACATGTTTACAGTTCTAAAAGCTAGTTAAAATAGGTTCGAAATTTAATTTCTTTGTTAGAATCTAGTTTCATGTAGAGTTCCAACTAGTTCGAAGTTTTAAAAACTCGTTAAAATAAATTCAAAATTTAATTTAATTGTTTAACTCGTTAAAATAGGTTTGAAATTTATCGTAATTGTTAGAAACTGGTTCCAAGTATAGTTCTAACTAGTTCAATATTTTAAAAACTCGTTAAAATAGTTTGTCAAAAAGATTTTATAATTATTTGTAACTACTTTGAAACTTGTTAAAAATCCTAAAAAGATATCAAAATTTTAATTGGAACAATTTTTTTTGACCAAAATTGATTGTAAATATTTTTATATTTTTCTATAATATCAAAATATTTCAGATTATTATCTAGAAAATAATTTATTTAAATAATTTTAATTAAATACTTTGTTTTTTAATTTTATAAATATTTAATTATTATTTATAAATAGAAAAAATTATTTTTCGAGAAAAAGTGAAAAAATATTTTTAATTACACATGAGGAAAATAATTAAAATTTTTGAATAAGTAAGAAGAAAATTGAATTATTAGATTTCTATATAGCAAATGTTAATATTTGCGTAGAGAGTTTGGTGAAAAGAGAAAAAAAGAATATATATTCATAAAAATCAAATAAGTTTGAGCAATGATTTTATAAATGTTAAACAAGTTATTCAATAACCAGAATATCGTGGTCCTCATCAATAAATGTAACTTGAAATATATTATGAAAAAATTGTTGACACGCTAGTTTTAAAAGGCCTACATCAAGATAATTCGAAAAATTGAACTTGTCTAGAAAGAAAATTTTCTATTAAAATATTGCTCAAGATATATTTTATATATATATATATGAACTTTTATATTATTTATGTATCTATATGCGTATCTTACATATATATATAAGTGTGTATAATATTTGATCATTGTAAAGCCAGTGGCATACAATCTGATTCTAATTGCCAATTTCTGAAGCAACTGACATACAACCAGAGTGAAAGAGAGCGATGCAAATCAAACATAGAAAACGATTGAGATAATGCGTTTTACGAGAAAATGGTCCATTCACTTCGATTCTATATACTCTATACACAAGTTGACGTGAAATTATTCTCTCTCTCTCACGGTTAAAATCAATTCTCTCCGAAATTCAAATGGAAATGCAAAATTAATCTCGTTTTCAATATAGCGTTGAAAGAAAAAAATAAAACAAGTCAAATTTATTTTAAAGAAAAGCAAAGAAAAGAAAAAGGATTTCAAAAAGAAAAAAGAAAAATATAAATTATTCGTTTTTCAAAAGGAGAAAGTCAATGAAATGAAAGTGGTGGATAAATTTATTTTAAAACGTTCGATTCACGGAAAATTAAGTCCCTTATCTCTTATAGATAGAATTCGGAAGTGTTTACTTTTAACTTATTTTTCTCCTTGATTAGTATTTTCACTTTAAAAGTCAATATATTCTCAAGGAAATGCATTAAAGATTGTTGATTAGTTCATTTACCTTTTTTTATGCTTTCGATTTAAAATTTTTTTTAAATTAAATTTCAATTAAAATTTATTAGAATTTAAAAAAGAACTGACGTTCTTTTCTCAATTCTAATAAATTTTATTTTTAAATATTATTTTTATTCAAAATTTAAAAAGAATTTTTTTAAAATATTAAAATTTTTTTTCTCTTTTAAATTTTAATAAACTTTAAGTAAAACTCCATTTTTTTATACTATTTTTTTCAATTTTTTATTTTTAATAAAGAAGAAAGTAAAACAAGACAAATAGTTTCTGACTTTTAACAGTTTCAAAAATCTTTGCTTTTATTTTCAATAATTTTAAGTTAATTTATTTTAAAATCGTATCAAGTCAATTTTTTGTTCATTTAAATCTTAATTCAGATTTTATCAATTTTTTCAAACATTTATTTTAAAGTTTAATTTCTTAAATAAAATTTATTAGAATTTAAAAAAGAACTGACGTTCTTTTTTAAATTTTAATAAATTTTATTTTTAAACTAATTTTATTTTGAAGTAATTCAAAAATATTTCGGAGTAGTTCACAACTTATTTGAAATTATTAAATTCTGGTCGTACTGGTACAAAACTGGTCTGAACTAGTATAAAACAAGTTTAAACTTGCTTAGACTAATACATAACTTGTTTTTGAAGTAGTATGAAACTTGTTTTAACTAGTGAAAAACTTGTTTGGACTGACTTGTTCGAAACTTGTACAAAACTTGTTTGGAATGATTCACAACTTGTTTAAATTAGCCAAAAACTGTTCAAACTGGTACATAACTTGTTTGAACATGTACAGAACTTGTTTGGACTGATACACAACTTGTTTAAATTAGTCCAAAACTATTCAAACTGGTACTTAACTTGTTTGAACATGTACAAAACTTGTTTGGACTGATAGAAAACTTATTCTGACTGGTACATACATAACTTGTTTGAATCAGTGACAAATTAACTTGTTTAAATTTGTACAAAACTTTATTTGGATTAATGTAAAACTTGTTTTTATTGAACAGTACGAAATTTTTGTTTAACTTGTACAAAATTTGTTTGAACTGGTACAAAATTTGTTTGAACTAGTACAAAATTTCTTTGAATTGGTACAATATTTATTTAAACAGGTATACAAAATTTGTTGGAACTGATACAAAGTTTTCATTGAGAGAAAATTCACTAGAATATTTAATAAATCAATATTAATTATTATTAAGTTGCTTTTAATTCAAGTCAAATCTGCTTTTAATGACTTGATTTCTTTAATAACACAGTAATCAATCCACTACTGCAAGAAATGATTAATTAAATTTTCTTAAAAAGAAAGAAAAAGAAAATTTTCAACATTTTGTATGCGGGAAAAATTGTCGTATAATTACCATTTGCTCTGGCCTATGTTCATACATATATTGACATGAAATTAGTAAATGTTATACGATTTAAAGAAATGGAATGAAATTAGCATAAGAGCGTGGCGAAAGAGAGTGAGACAGAGAAAAAAAGAAGTAAAATTATTCTCAGTGGGCGTAACCAGTTTTACAATCAGCAGTCGAGCGTGATATGTGCGGATGGTATAATAAACTAATTTCCTGGTTTCATTTTCAGATTGACCGACGAGGTACACTTTGGATTATTTCCGATAAAATGCCAGTTTTCCTCATGTCGACCTTGAACTACACAGACATTAACTTCAGAATATTAACGGTACCAGTTCAGGATGCAATTGCCGGCACTGTTTGTGACACGGCGCCCTGGAAGTACGTCAGTAATCATCTTTGGTGGAATCGATGATAAATGATGGAGAGAGACAGGAAAAAAATCAAGAAAAAAAGACAAAAAACGATTTTCTTTATAATTGTAAAAAAAATTGCGAGTTTAGAAACGAATGAAGAAAATTGTTCTTTGAAAAAAATACTCGACTTTATTGGATGTTGGGGAGAGGAGGGAAAATGTTTCTTATTTTTTTTAATTTTATAGGAATTATAATTAATTTTTATATAGACAAATTATTTATTATTATTTAATACTTCTTTAAATGTACCACAATTTTTTAAAGGGAATAATTAAAAATTAAAAAAAAATATTTAAAAATAATTTAAAAAGCTTTTAAAAAAATATTTAAAATATTAAAATATTAAAAATATTAGTATAATTTTTCTATTTTGCGACCAGGAGGCAAAAAATAGAAATAAAAAAAAAAGGTTTTTAAATATTTGAGTGGGAATTAAAAAATCTATTTTTTACTGTAATTTGGAAAAAAAATCTCAAATATTTCATTAAGGCTAGTTTTCTTCTGTTTTAAATTAAAAATAAATGTTCTAAATTGTAAAGTACCCCATCAATAAAGCACTTTTTGTATAGTTTTAGATTTTTAATTATTTTTATTACCCGTATTTAATTGCAGGTAAGTAATTAATTTTATAATAATTGAAAATCCCACCGCTGCCACCAACGTCAATCAATTCTCTTTGATTTTTTTAAATGTTTATTTATTATTCAACTTGTTTTATTTATTTTTGTCATTTTTATTAAATTGAAGTTGAATTCTCATGGAAAATATTCAACAATTAACGAAAAAAATTATAATTAACGGAAAAAATGTAAAAATTGAAAGCAATAGTTTAAATATGCGAAAAAATAAAAAAAGAGAATTTTTAGAGAACGAGAGAGAGAGAGAGAGAGAGAGAGAAATATATTGTTTTCGGTGAAGATGTCTCTCGACTTGGATAAGAGCCCCGTTTCTTTAAGCAGCGCGCATTTATTTATAAAACACTTGTATGTACGTACAAAAGCGAGTAACATTTGTGCGCGCCTCGATTCGAGATCTTAGGAGATAGCAATCTAAATACAATCGGTCGTTTACCACGTTACCCATCTTGGTCTTATTTATTCTCTGTCGTTCGCCAACCGCGTCCCTAACCCCCCCCCCACCCACCCCTCCCTATTTTGCTCTCATTTCATTGTATTTTTTTTATCCCTTATTTTTCCCTTTACCAAAATCCCGCGCTCAAATAAATCCTAAATGATAAAAATCGATATGCACGAATATATATTTAAGCAGGTCCAAAAAAATAGTAATTTCATATACATGCGATAAAAAATTATTTTAAAATTAAAATTCAATGTAAATTATTCAAATTTAATTGTCCCAAATATTTATTTAATCCCCAAACTCAATATTCTCGAAGTAGATTTTTAAAAATTTTACAATTTTTATGAGAAATTTCCATAATATACTTTCGGAAAAAGTTTTTAAATTGTTCTTCGATAATTTAAATGGTGTTTCAACTTATTCTTGATATTTTAAAACTGGTTCAAATTCGTTTCTGACTACTGAAAACAACTTTAATCATGTTTTTACAGTTTAAAACAAGTTTTTACATGTTTGTAATATTTTGAAACTAGTTTGTACTTGTTTTTGATAATTTAAATTCAATTTAAAAATAATTTTAAAAAAATTTAAAAAACAAGTTTATCATTGTTTTAAATATTCTAAAATTGTGGTAAAACTAATTTTGACATTTTAAAACCAGTTCAAATCGGTTTTAAACTTCTTTAAACAATTAAATCATGTCTTTGCCATTTTTTAACTTATTTAAATTGGTGTCTGACTCGTTTAAACAAGTTTATACTTGTTTTAAATATTTTCCAACTCGTTTGTACTTGTTTTTAATATTTTAATTTTAAAACAAGTTTGTACTTGTTTTTAATATTAAAAGTTTTCAAATTAATTTAAAATTAATTTTGACATTCTAAAACTAGTTCAAATTGGTTTCAAACAAGTTAAAACAATTTCAAACCTGTTCTTAGTGCAAAATGAGTTTAATCATGTTATTAACACTTTAAAGAGCTGATATCTTGAAATGATGATCTTAACTGGTTTCGAACACTTTGAATCTAGTTTGAATTTATTCCTGTGGCTATTAACAACAATTTTAAAAATTTAATTTTTATCAAAATAAAATATTTTTTTATAAAAATGGGGAGAATTTAATTTTTTTTTAAATAAACCATTTATAAAAGTAGGAAAAATTTAATTTCTGGTTTTAAAAAATTTAATTTCCCATCTGCTCAAGAATGCGAAGAAAATAAAGAGCGGAAGTCTTTAAAGATAAAAACAAAGAAATCAAGAAAATTTAAAAAATTGGAAAGGTGTACAATTTGGGGGGGGGGGGGTGGTAGTAAAAGAGGGCAGTGGCTGAGGGTTCACAATTGAGAAAAATATGAAACATAGATTTTTTGGGGGGCGTCAAAAAATCGGGGAGCGCCACACGGTGGTCATATATTTTATCGTGCGTGGGCGTGAAACGGATAATTTTCGAAGGAGCGAGAAAGCGATACGCTCGATCGTATATCAGTGGGTGATCGCGCGTATATAGCTTTTGCCCCTACAAATTATCGGAAACAAGAGCCAAACTAATGGGCCGTGTTCAAAAGAGATAGAGAGAGAGAGAGAAAAAGAGCGAGAAGTGGCCATCTGGCTCCTGCGGGGCTGATTCATACCCGATTCGATCGTCTTTTTCACGCCGGTAAACACCGCATACAGAAAAATTAGGACCATGTTTAGAGGAATATTAACCTAATGCAGTGCCCCCAAGTAACAATATAAAATATAAGAAACAAAAATAAAGCAAGACTCTTTCTTGAATTTATTAACTCTTTTCAAAAAGTTAACGAGCTTTCGAATTTTTTTTTATTTTTCTTTCGAAAAATTCTGAAACTGTTTCGCATAAGTTTTTCGAACTTGTTTATGTAACTGTTAAAAACCAATTACGAAACTGTTAAGAATAACTTCATAACTGTTTAAAACTAGTTCGTAACTGTTTGAAACTACTTTGTATATATTTAAATCTAGTTCATAACTGTTTGTAACCAGTTCATAACTGTTGTAAACTAGTTAGTAACAAGTTTGAAACTAGTTCATAACTGTTTAAAACAAGTTCGTAACTGTTTGAAACTAGTTCTTAACTATTTTAAAGTAGTTCGTATCTGTTTGAAACCAGTTCATAACGGTTGGAAACAAGTTCATAACTGTTTGTAACTAGTTCGTATCTCTTTAAAACAAGTTCGTAACTGTTTGAAACTAGTTCTTAAATATTTTAAAGTAGTCCGTAACTGTTTAAAACAAAAATTTTATTAAAATAATTCAATTTCTATACAGAATTTTATTAAAATTTTTGAAAATAATTGAATTCCTGAAAATTATTTTATTATTTATAAAAAATTTTTAACATTTAAACTTTTAAAAATAATTGAATTCTTCTGATGAATATTATTATTTATGAAAATAATTGAATTTTGCAAAAAATTTTATTAAAATGCCTCAAAATAATTGAATTCTTTCGTAGGATTATTTATGTAAATAATCGAATTCTCAGGAAGAATTTTATTCATTCTTATTAAAATCTAATAGAATAATTGAATTATTTCGAAAAGATTTAATTAAAATTGTATTTATTGTTGTTCTTTCGAACAATTTTATTAAAATATTTGAAAATAATTGAATTCATGGGAAAAATTCTAATATTTTTGAAAATAATTGAATAGTGGCTAAGAATTTGATTAAAATTTTCAAAAATAATTGAATTCTTGATAAGAATTTTATTATTTGTTAAAATAATTAAATTATTGTGAAAATTTTTTAAATATTTAAAAAGAATTGAATTTCTGTGGAAAATTTTGTTATTTTTGAAAATAATTGAATTCTTCATAGGAATTTTAAAAACATTGTTTTAAATAATTAATTTTTTCGATTAATTAATTTAAAGTAATATTAAAAATAATTGAAATTCTTCGATGACATTTATTATTTATAAAAATAATTAAATTCTTGCTTAGAATTTTATTAAAAATTTTGTTAAAAAATAGTACAAAACTCGTTTGAACTGACTTGTTCTAAACTTGTTTGAACTTGTACAAAACTTGTTTGGACTGATACACAACTTGTTTAAAGTAGTCCAAAATTGTTTAAATTTGTACATAACCTGTTTGAACTTATACAAAACTTGTTTGGACTAAACACAACTTGTTTAAATTAGTCCAAAATTGTTTAAACTGGTACATAACTTGTTTGAAATTGTACAAAACTTGTTTAGACTGATACATGACTTGTTTAAATTAGTACAAAATTGTTCAAATTAGTACAGAACTGTTAAAATTAGTACAGAATCGTTCAAATTAGTACAAAATTGCACTTAATTAAAATGAAGAACGACGTAAATTAATAATTTGCAGTTACAAATAATTTAAATTAACTTTTAAAAAGTTTGTAGGGAATTAAAATTAAAAATAGGTACAATTAAAGAATTAAAAACATCGTAAATTATTAATTTGCAGTTATATAAAAAATTTGTCTTTTCAGAGAGCAAAAATATTTCAAGTATTTTGAAATTTAATTAAATAATATATAAGCCACTGTTTTTCCCAAATGAAAAAGTGGCCGGAGGCTGCGAGTAAACCCTACGTACCCTACCTAATGGGATAAGATCTTTTGGCGCATAGTTGTCCCGGGTTAAGACCCTGGAGCGTGGCTTGTTGAGGATCGTGTTATTACATTATATTATATACCACTACTATCGTGAATCATCGAGATGTATTAGATGAAGGTTTCTCTCCTGCAACTGTAATAATTGTAAAAGTGTCTTCAGAATATCAACTCATTCTCTCTCTCTCTTTCTTCATCTCTCTTCTATATAAGATATAATTACTCAAAGTGTAGGGTACAGCATCATAAAATACTTTCATTCACTCAATTTTGGGAAGGTGCTCATTATCGGCCATCTAACTCTTTCAAACATTCATTTTTTTCTCCCTCCCCCCTCTCTCTCTTTCTCTCTTTCTCTCTCGATTTTTTGATTAGTCACAACAAAATTTCTTTCCAGAAAAACAAACAAATTACTATTATTAACTTTTATATAAGCGAGTTTGATTTTATTCAATTTTCTTGAAAGATTAATTTTTTTCCTTATTATTTTTTTTATCTACAAATAGTAATTTATTATTTTTCAAGAAATTGAATAAATATCAAATTCTTATAAAAAAATAATAATAGTGAC